GAGACTGAGATTGATTTTATAGTTACATAAATTCAACAGAACAGACTTTTAAATAACATGGATCCAGACCAACCATTTTCATTTTATAATGAAGACATGGGGGCTCAGAAAGGGCTTTGCCCAAGGTCACACCGCTGGTAAAAGGCAAAGCTGGCACTAGAGCCCAGGCCTCTTAATGCTCTTTCCAATAGGCCCTGTTTCCTTTTCTGTTTAACTCTAACCCCCAGGACTTCTGGTGATGAAAGAGATGGATGCTATTTCCAAAACAGACCCTGGTGCTTGTGACTGCACTCAGTGAATTCACAGGGCTTCCCTCTCAAGTGTGCTCTCTGCTGGGGAAGGCACTCTTTCCTGATGCTATTTCCAAAACAGACCCTGGTGCTTGTGACTGCACTCAGTGAATTCACAGGGCTTCCCTCTCAAGTGTGCTCTCTGCTGGGGAAGGCCCTCTTTCCTGCATCCCAGACTCCAGGCCCACCGTGGCGGGGTGGCAGGGCCCAGGGCAGAGGCGTGCAGGTGAGGGTGATGTTGAGCCCTGGCTCTGGGTACCTGGATCCTGCTACTCTGCTGGAGCTGGGAAGGCGGGCTTCCTGACGTGTGTCCCCAAATGGGAACAGACACTTGCCAGGCTGTCCCCAGGGATGGGGTTGGAGAAAGGAAATCTGGGGCCTGACCTAGGCCTCGGGGCACCGCCTAGGCCTGGCACTGCCTCATGGGGCTCAGCTGCTAGAACCAGATCTGCCTTCCTGCCCCTGTTCCCTGGGCATCTCTGAGCTCCTGCAGCCACAGCGACCTCTACCCCACCGCATGCTCACCGTCCAGAAAGAGGCACGTTACCCTCAGTGGACACTCAATGTCCACTACTGCCCCCAACTATCACTGTTACATGGCGGCTACTTAATACCTCACGCAGACACATCCTGTCTCCCTACAGCGCCTTCAGGATTGCTGGGTGCAGGGCAGGCCCTAATCTCTGCTAGCTTCCCAGGGATGAGGGCTGGGCTCTGCAGGGCACACACATGGATGGAAGAGTGCCTGGCAGGGTGTTTGGGGTTTGTAGCAACTCACCATGTCCAACAGCAAGATGAATTCCTGTTGGATATCTGTGGCATCAGGCAGAGAGTCATGGGGAGGGGCAGGCTCGAGGGACCCCAGGAAGCCACAGAACCAGCCTGCTTTTCAGGGTCTCAGTGCCCCCACCACACAACATGGGAGTTGAGGATGTAGGTGGACCCTTCTAGCTCTAAAACTCTGATGCAATTCTATTATAGAATCATAGAGAGGGGAAAGCCTAAGCCAGTTTGTTGTCATTCTCTTCTCCAGCCCTTTAGCACAGAAGAAATTGAACAAAGACTTGCAGGGAGGATGTAGCACTGGTGCCCAGGCTCAAACAAGGCTGCCCCTCCCCCAACTCCAGGCACCCTGTGGGAGTGTATCTGGCAAGACACACTTCAGACCCCAAAGCCAGTGCTTTTTGATGCCCCAACCAAAGTCGCATAAAATAGAAGACTCCACCACAGTGACAGGCCCAGATAATCAGGACCAGGTATGGACAGGAAGCTGTAGGGTGACCGTCTCATCTCCTGATTTTTAGGCTGAGAGCCCCGAGTGAGCCATTTATCTTCCTCAAATCCCCTCCCCACCCGAGACCTTTTAGACTGTGGCTTGAGCTCTCCGCAGTGAACAAACAGGGATGCCCCCAGCATCCTAGCCTGGGCTTCAGCCCTCTCTCCCCCACTTTCCCCGGCCCCATCCATCTCTGAGGCTTCTCTGCAGCTGGAATGGAGGAGGGGGTGGGTATATGACACCAGACGCCTGCCCTCTGTGGCACCAATGCCCACACTTCCCTCTTTCCCAGGGAGCAGGGCCACTTCCCTGAAGACGGAGCAGAACACAGAGTTAATAGCAAGCAATGTTTGTATCTGCCCCGTGTCTGGGACACACAGCCCAGTTCCTGGGGACCTGCCAGGGTGGCCTACTGTCTGGCACTGTTTGCCTTTGGGGCAATGGTTGCCTTGAGCAGGGAGGGACAAGGAGGCTGCAGTGGGGGTGGGGAGCAGGGCACAGCCTGAGACCAGGCAGCCTTGGTGCCAAAGGCCATGGCTTCTGAAGCTCCAGACAAGGGTCGTGGGAGCCAAGGGCCTGCCCACCGTCCTCTCTTCAGGATCAGAGGACCCTGATGTTGGTGGAAACTCCTTCCCACCTCTAACAAAACCCCTCAGAATCATGGTCTTTCTTCTCCCAGGCCCCTCAAAGCCCAGATAACTTCTCAGGGCTCTGCACCCTCCCACCCCTGCACACCTACCCTCCTTAATAAGATAAGGAGATGCTGCAGGTGCTGCCCAGAGGGAACACGTGGAGGGGAGCTGAAGCCCTGCTTCCGGGGGCGTCAAGAGCTGGGCTGCACCTGTGTTGTAGGCGGCTGGCCTTACAAACCCATCTTCCCCCAAACCGTGACCTGTCACTTCTGACTGCCCCTCAAACCCAGCTCCTGGGGCAGCGTCTCTCCTTCACCAGCGCAGCATCTCATTATACACATCCAAGAACTATTCATCGCTCTTGGGCAGCTGCTTCTAACTGAATGTCACCCAGAGCTGTGGGACACTAAGCAGTCACTTCCTCTGGGAAGATGAGGGGCTGGATTCCTGGATCTCTAAGGACACTTCCAGCTTCAAAGTGCCATACCCATAACCACAGGGCAGGGGTCTTAGGCCCTCCTGGACATCAGGACAGAACTTGATATTACAGGAATGCAACAGGAAGGACCCCAACCTTCTGCCAGAGACCATTCAAGCCACCAACTAATACGTGGTTACCTTTAGGTGTTTATACCACACTTGGTGCATATACCATACTATGGGCTATATACCACATGTTGTATATCATCACACTGTAAGGTGTGGTACACATTTTGGAGTATATGGCACACTTTGTGCATGTACCGTACTTGGGGGATATATACACTTTGAGGTATAACACACTTTAGGGCATAAAGACACTTTACAGCACGTACACACTTTGTGTATATCTCCACACTTGGGATATATCCCATGCTCTGTGGATACAGCACACCTTGTGTAGAGACCTCACTTCTGGGCGCATTCTGCAAAGTGTTAGTGATGTGACTCTGGCAAGGCTGCAGGGTGAGGAGTACAGACCCTAGAACCTGATCATGCTGCATGCAGTGCACTCCCACCACTGTGCTTAACCTTGAGCAAATCACTTGTCCTCTGAGACTCAGTTTCCTCACCTGTTAAATGGGGATCATAATAGTACCTACCTCATGGGGTTTGGGGGACGACTAAATGAAACGGAGCTTATAACAGACTTACCATCATGTCTAGCACAGGAGAAACACATGGTAAATGGCAGCTTTGTTATTGCTTGTACTTTTAAAGGTGTTTTATAATGCATAAGTATCTTTGAATTTCAAATATACATAAATTCAGACATTCCCAGAGTCTTAATGCTTTTGAAAACTCAGAAAACAGACAGACCATTTAATTCATGTTTATTTCACATTTGATCTGTAAACTTTTTATTAAAAAAAAAAATTCCACTGTCATTAACAACATGTGCTGACATTAGTTTTTCTTTAGTGAAATAAGAGCACAGGCCTTAAAGAGTCTCTGTCTAAAACATGGGGAAACTTGGATGTAAACAAGGTCTCCACCCTCCTCCCTTGACTTTGGGAGTTCGTTAATGACTTGATCTCAACCAGAAAAAACAGGGAGGAAAAAATGGACAACACTTTGATACCTAGGAGCTCTTGGGGCAGGAACTGTAAAGTTTGGCAGGCCCATTTGTCTCTCAAACTGTTTACCTTGGGCAAATTGTATCAGGTTTGATTCTTCCACATAATTTCCACTTCTCCCTGTCTAAAAACAGCAGGTAAAAGATTCCCCACAGTCAGCACTTTGGGGGAGGGAGGGGTGCACATACATACAAGATGGAAACATACATATTTTTCAAGCAGTGGCCCCCGAGGAAAGGAGGGAGGGGACACTGGAAAGAGAAGGTTTTAAAGTGAGGTACTCGGGCGAAGAAGCGTGCATCAGAGGATAATGGCTTTATACACAGGCAGAAAGGTTCATTTACTTCTGTCTTGGTCCATCATTGTAATATTTACATAGGAAAAGGCAATTATGCTGTTAGGCACAGGGGAAAAATGGACAGAAATCTTTTCCCCCTCAGGAAATCTCAAAGCAGGTCCAGTCCCAAGGGACAGTCACCAGTTGCTGGTGAAAATGACACAGAGGGAGGTAATGACAACAGAAGAGGGCTCACATTGCAAAGAGGCTTGCCCTGAGCTAGCCACAATGTGTCTGCCTGGAGAGCATCTCCAACAGCCAGGATGCCAACATCAAAAGCCAAGCGACATTTCGGACAACGTGTACTATCAAAAATAGTGTATATTTACAAGGCGGGGATGGGAGGGCGGGCAGGGCTGCCCTGAGCTTTTGCTTAAAAATAGAGTCGGGGGAGGAGGAGGGCCAGGGCTGGGTACCCCCATCTATTAACCCTTTGAGAGCCATCCCCTCTGAGCTCTCGTGCTTGCTCTGAACCACGGTGAGAGCTGGATCCAGGGGAGGTGAAAATACTTTTAGGAAACAATACTGATTTGGGGGCCGGCCCAAGAACCCAGGAAGATGGCTCCGAGTGAGGAGCGGCCCTAAGCACAATTGGGGGGGGGGGG